GAAAGTATAAAAACACATTTTTATGGTAAAAATATGAGCAAAATACTTATATATAAAAAAAATATCAACAATACCTATTTACAATAGAATGACCAACATGAAAGAACACTTTCAATGGCATTAATCCTTATATCCTACTTTTGTGATATCAATGAATACTCATTGCCACTTTTGTAATGTTAATGAATATTTCATTGTCACTTTCACATTAAATGCTTGTTGTAGATATTTTGTAATCATGTAAGATCACAACTATAGTTTGCCATTGAACTAAAATTAATCAGATGCGTTTTGAATAACACTCACATTTAATATAACCACTTACAAATAATACATTCGCTCAAATAGTGATCCAAATAGTAATAGTTATAGTGATCACTTAGATGGCACACTAATTCCCTTATATACATTTCCTTTGCCATCACGTGATCTACTTATTCAAAATGGTGATCTGTGTTCAAACTCCGGTGTTGGCAGTGACACTTTATTCCTATATAACATCTACAATTTTTTAAATCAAACTGTATTTCCAAAATATAACTTCAACAAAACTACAACATAAAACATGCATATCACTCCCTATAGTAATTACATCCACACAAACATGTATATGCACAAAAGCTGAGTATCATCTACCATGTATTCAATTGTGAAAGCAGAATAACATATCATATTTTTATTACTTCAAACAAAGAAAATTAAATTTTCATTAAAGACCCTCCCAAGAAAATTAAATTTTTGGCATTAAATGACCAAATCTAACCATTAGGATTAAATTGGTTGATATGTCCATTAAACAAAACTTAGAATAAATCCAAGTTCTTAATCATGAAAATACTTTAACTCAGAAGTCAAATAAATATTACTACTACTACTAAGGTTAATTTGTTTGTTTTTTATGGCTTATCAACCTGTTGCAGGTTATTTAAAGCCAAGACATGTTTTTAGATTCCAAGAAATTTTTGGAGATAATGATTTTTTGATACAATTATTATTTAACTGATATTTTCATTTTTGATACAATTATTATTTAACTGCTAACTGGGACTACTACTACTACGATTTAAACAAGTTTTCATATTTGAAGGATGACAGTAGCAATATCAATGTTAGATTTGGGTTCTATTTAGTTATAGATTTCCATGTCTGAATTTGTTAAAGTTTTGTCCATGTAAGATGATATCCCAGAATATGGGTTCACATCTTATCAAATCTTGTCAGAAGCTAATTCTTTATTTTGATTTGATATATCTTTTATGGCTGAGGAGGTTGCGGTAAAAATAATAAAATGAAGAAAGATTAGTCAGAATTAATGAAAATACTTTATCTCAGAATTTAAATAAGTATGTCAGATTTTATGATGCAAGTCAATTTTGTCACAATAAAACTGCGAATACCTAAACTATATTGATAAAATATTCAAGATAATTTGTCTCAAGATATCAAGAACTTTGACATTTTGACTCTTATATTTTGCAATCCACTGGCTGTAGAAAGTAACTGTAGTGATATGTAAATGAGATACTATATAAAAGGCAGTATCACTATAACTATGGGGGAATTATCTTCTCTTGAAGAGGCTACATTTGTTAGAGAGAAAACCTATCATAACGATATGGTGTCGCCAATCAGTAACTTAACCACAATGGAGGATTCTGAATATATTGAAACCTGGCTTAGGTATTTTGCAGTGTCAGTGAAAATGAAAAAAGTTAAACGACATGAAAGCTAGCGGAGGAGAAAATGAAGTTATGAATTTGTTTTTGGTCTCAGTGAGGTATGAAGCCATAAAAATAATCTCTGTCATGGTCTATCCCAAAGTGTTGGAAGATTTAGCCTATGTAGAAATTGCTGCCATCATAAAAGCAAATACAGGATCATAAAAAAGATTGGTCATAACAGAAAGAACTAAATTTCTCAGAAGTAGACAGAGACTGAACGAAACTATTATACAGTATGTACAGCGATTTAAGAAGTTTGAAAGAATAGTTTCAGAACAAATGTCTATCAAAAATGTCTATCAAACAAGTTTGATTTTACTAAGACTGATTGAAAGAATGTTTGATTTCTTGTTTAAGCATAAAATTTTAGAAAAGCTTCAAGCATCATAATATGAATCTGGAAGCATGTAGAGTTCTTACAACATTTGGAATTGATTAAGAAATTTAATGCCTCGGAATGCAGTATGACTTATTGTGCTACTAAAAGCTTACTTGTCTGCAGATATTGGCAATAAAAGAACATGAAAAGGACAAAAATAAGTGTGCAACCTTTGGGAAATGGTGTTTTAAGTTTAAAAAGAGGAATCATTTCAGACAATATGCACATATGAAAAGCGAGTGGGAAATATAAATCCTCTGATTTTAAAAATATGGAAGTATTTGAGATAAAAGAACAGGATAAAAAGTAGAGAAATGGTGAAATTGAATAGAGTAACTTTGTTCATGCAGGTCGATACTGGAAGTAGTGTTATGTTGATACCAAGGAATTTTTTGTGAAAAGAATGGGTATTTAGTAAGTTAAAGAAAAGCTTCATGGATCAATTGTCAAAATTTTAGGATACTTTGAAGGCACATTTGAGACAAAAAAAACAGATTTGAGATAATACCCATTATAGTGGTGGAAAACATCAAAAGTCACAGTCTTCTAGAAATTGATGTATTAATAATGGATACATCTAAGCTGATAAATTTCATGAAGTCTGTAGAACCAGATGTTGGATTATTAAGGGGATATGAGGTGAGTATTTGGCTTAAAAGCAGTCAATGATTTTTTTATTTTCAAGCCTGAAAAATGTTCCTGCTCACATGCTACCCTTTAGTTGTTGCTAAAATGAACAAAATGGGAGAACAAGGAATATTAGAAATAATTGCTTACAGTGTGGTAAAATTGGACTTCACCCTTGTGGTAATATGGAAGCCCAAGGGAGACTTAAAAAATTGTGGCAATTATAAGGTAAGGCGTGAATCACCAGATTTGTTTGGATTCATTCCCACTGGCAAACATTGAAACAGCTTGCTATGAGTTTACTGGTATTGAAATACTTTGCTAAAGTTAATAAAATGGACTTATTTGCCATTTGGAGTAAAAACACCAAGTCATATTTTCATTGAAAAAGTTTTAGAGAGGATTAAAAATATAATTTTATATCAGGATGACATTGGCATTGGTGTGCACAGTAAAGAAAAGCTTAAGAGTAAAACAGAGCAATCTTTGAGAAAATTAAATAGCACGGGTATGACAACTGCAATAAATGCAAGTTTAATTATGAAAAATTTCATACCTTGGAAATCAAATATCCAAATACAATGAAATTTTAAGAGTAAAAATGTTGAAGCAACTGAAAATTCTGAGGATAGGATTTTACACTGGTTAGAAACGGACGTATTATGCTTAACTTAGCTTAGGTTGGGAACTGGGCAGGATACAGTATTGACTAGAATATGAATAAAGAGAAATACATGGAGTAATTCCTCTATGGCTGAGAGGCTGTATAAAGAGTTAAGACTCAAATTAACAATAGAAAAAGGAATTATATGTAATTGGGATATCACAGTTTTTGAGAAAAGAAGTAATTAAAGCCATGTATGATGATATACATGGAAGTATATTGGTTATGCAAATGAGGTTAAAGTTGCAAGCATGGTAGCCAGGCTATTCAAGAGGCATACAAGAGAATGTTAAAAATACCCAAAATGTGCAGAAATAAAGAAATTTATGCAAACTAAAATTCACTCTTGGCCAAAGTAAATGGAGCTGTGGACAGAAGTACATATGTATCATGCTACACTAAAGGTATAGGACTATTTCTCATATTAGTCAACTTGTATTCAAGTTGGCCTGAAGTTATTAAAGTCATGAATAGAAAAGCCACTACTTTGAAGCAGGTGCTGAGGATAGTGTTTTCAAGAAATGGAGTTCCAAAAACCTTGCTCTCCAACACTGCACACAAGTTTTGTGAAGAAAGTTTATGTGCATGGTTAAAACATATTGGCTGCATTCCATACAAAACACCAACTTACCACCCACAGTCAAATGGAATTGTGGAGAGAAGGTTCAAATGGTAAAAATGAGATTAAAAGCATTCTCTTGAGTGGATTGTGATATAGTGAGATATTTACCCAGACTACTCCTAAGTTATAGAGCTATTCGGCATGCAGGTAGAAGACAAAGTCCATCAGCAATGATGGGAAGACAAATAAGAGCTCTGAATACAATGTCATTTGCAACTGAAAGTGTGTGGTATGGAAAGGACAAGAATTCATTCAAGTCCTGAAAAAATGAATTTTGTGGTGGAAAATGATGTAACGCAGCTTTGTTAACAAAGAAGGGACAGGGCATACTGGTTCACACAGACCAATTTTGAGGCACAGGACTACAAATTTATAGAAAAGGAGAAAGAAGATGAAGCAGAAGACCAGACAATGCAAGAAAGGATGAATGAATCTAGTATTGAGTGATCAGAAAAGCCAGCAGAGACATGAAAGGGATAAACAAAAGGGAAGAGAGGGAGAAAAATGTATCCAGTAATGAGGAATGATCAGAAAAGGCAAAGAGACATAAAGATGAACAAGAGAGGGAGAGAATAAATGAAATGTATCCAGTATTGAGAGTGATCAGAAAAACCAAAAGAAATGAAAGATGAACAAGAGAGGAAGAGAATAAATATAAAGAATAAATATAAATGTATCAGATAATGAGAATGAATCAGAAAAACCACCAGAGACATGAAAGTGATGATGAAAGATGAACAGGAGAGAGAAGAAATATAAATGTATCCAGTAATGAGAATGATCAGAAAAGCCACCAGAGACATGAAAGTGATGAACAAGAGAAGGAAGAGAGAATAAATATAAATGTATCCAGTAATGAGAATGATCAGAAAAGCCACCAGAGACATGAAAGTGATGAACAAGAGAGGGAAGAGAGAATAAATATAAATGTATCCAGTAATTGAGAATGATCAGAAAAGCCACCAGAGACATGAAAGTGATGAACATTCAAGGAAGAGAGAATAAATATAAATGTATCCAGTAATGAGAATGATCAGAAAAGCCACCAGAGACATGAAAGTGATGAACAAGAGAGGGAAGAGAGAATAAATATAAATGTATCCAGTAATGAGAATGATCAGAAAATGCACCAGAGACATGAAGGTGATGAATAAGAGAGGGAAGTGAGAATAAATATAAATGTATCCCGTAATGAGAATGATCAGAAAAGCCACCAGAGACATGAAAGGATGAATAGAAGGAAGAATAAATATAAATGTATCCAGTAATGAGAATGATCAGAAAAGCCACCAGAGACATGAAAGTGATGAACAAGAGAGGGAAGAGAGAATAAATATAAATGTATCCAGTATTGAGAGTGATCAGAAAAGCCACCAGAGACATGAAAGTGATGAACAAGAGAGGGAAGAGAGAATAAATATAAATGTATCCAGTAATGAGAATGATCAGAAAAGCCACCAGAGACATGAAAGTGATGAACAAGAGAGGGAAGAGAGAATAAATATAAATGTATCCAGTAATGAGAATGATCAGAAAAAGGACCAGAGACATGAAAGTGATGAACAAGAGAGGGAAGAGAGAAAATAAATATAAATGTATCCAGTAATGAGAATGATCAGAAAAAGACACAGAGACATGAAAGTGATGAACAAGAGAGGAAAGAGAGAATAAATAAAAAAATCCAGTAATGAGAATGATCAGAAAAGCCACCAGAGACATGAAATGATGAACAAGAGAAGGAAGAGAGAATAAATATAAATGTATCCAGTAATGAGAATGATCAGAAAAACCACCAGAGACATGAAAGTGATGAACAAGAGAAGGAGAGAGAATAAATATAAATGTATCCAGTAATGAGAATGATCAGAAAAAGCCACAGAGACAGGAAAGTGATGAGAGAAAGAGAGAGAAGAGAGAAATAAATATAAATGTATCCAGTAATGAGAATGATCAGAAAAGCCACCAGAGACATGAAAATGAATAAACAAGAGGAAGAGAGAGAATAAATATAAAATGTATCCAAAAAATGAGAATGATCAGAAAAGCCACCAGAGACATGAAAGTGATGAACAAGAGAGGGAAGAGAGAATAAATATAAATGTATCCAGTAATGAGAATGATCAGAAAAGCCACCAGAGACATGAAAGTGATGAACAAGAGAGGGAAGAGAGAATAAATATAAATGTATCCAGTAATGAGAATGATCAGAAAAGCCACCAGAGACATGAAAGTGATGAACAAGAGAGGGAAGAGAAAATATAAATGTATCCAGGGAATGAGAATGATCCAGAAAACCACCAGAGACATGAAAGATGAACAAGAGAGGGAAGAGAATAAAATAAATGTAAATAGAAGAATGATCAGAGAAGGACCAGAGAAGAAGAGATGAACATCCAGGAGAGAGAATAAATATAAATGTATCCAGTAAGAGAGGGAAGAAAAGCCACCATAGACATGAAAGTGATCAACAAGATGATCAGAGAATAAATGTATCCAGTAATGAGATGATGAAAGACCAGAACAAGAGAACAAGAGAGAAGAGAATATAAATGTATCCAGTAATGAGAATGATCAGAAAAGCCACCAGAGACATGAAAGTGATGAACAAGAGAAGAGAGAGAGAATAAAGATAAAATGTATCCAGTAATGAGAATAGAGAAAAGCCACCAGAGACATGAAAGTGATGAACAAGAGAAGGGAAAAGAGAATAAATAGAAAATGTATCCAGTAATGAAATGAGAGAAAAGCCAAAAGAGACATGAAAGTGATGAACAAGAGAGGAAGAGAGAATAAATAGAAATGTATCCAGTAATGAGAATGATCAGAAAAGCCACCCATGAAAGAAAATGAAAGTGATGAACAAAGAGAGGAAGAGAGAATAAATATGAAAAAATGTATCAGTAATGAGAATGATCAGAAAAACCAGAGAAATGAAAGTGATGAAAAAGAGGGAAGAGAGAATAAGAAATGAAAGAAAATGTAAAGAAGAGAGAGAATGATCAGAAAAGCCACCAGAGACATGAAAGTGATGAACAAAAAGAGGAAGAGAAATAAATATAATGAAGAGAAATCAAAAATGAGATTGATTAGAAAAAAGAAAGCATGAGAAATGACAAAAAAGAGAGGAAGAGAGAATGAAAATAAATGAGAAAAATGAGGATGATCAGAAAAAAGATACCAGAGACATGAAAGGATGAACAAGAAAGGGAAGAGAGAATAAAGAGGGAGGAAGAGAAATGAGAATGAGAAAAGGACAGAGAAAGAAAGTGATGAACAAGAGGAAGAGAGAATAAATATAAATGTAAAGTAATGAAAGGAAAGAAAAAGACCAGAGACATGAAAGGATGAAGAAAAGAGAGGAATAGAGAAAAAGAAAAAATGTGAAATGAGAAGGAAAGAAAAGCCACCATGAGATAAAGAAAGAAGTATGAAATGAGAGGGAAGAAGAGAGAAGAGAAAAAGAGATAAGAGAAATCAGAGAAAAGAAAAGAATGAAAATGATGAACAAGAAAGAAAGAGAATGAAAATAAATAAAGGGACAGAAAATGAGAATGATCAGAAAAGAGAAAGAAAGAAAGGAAAAAAAAAGAAGACAAAACAGGAAGAGAAAGAAAAGAGAAATGAGAGGAAAGGAAAAAGAGAAATCAGAAATGAGAAAAAAAGTGATGAACAAGAAGGGAAGAGAAAAAAAGATACAGAATCCAGGGGGAAAGAAAACAGAAAGACAATAGAGAGAAAGAAATGAGCAAAGAAAGACACAGAAGGAAGAGAGGGAAGAGGAAAAAGAGCATGAATTGAATGGAGAACAGAAGGAAAGAAAAAAGGGAAGAGAAACAAAGAAATGAAAAAGACAAGAAAGAGGAAGAGAAGGGAAGAGAGAAAACCAAATGAGAAAGAAAAGAGAAAGGTGTAGAGAGATGAAAAGATGAAGAAGAGAAAGAAAGAAATAGAAGAAAAATAAAGAGAGAAAGAGAAAAGGAGAGAAGTGGAAGAAAAGCATGAGCAAAGAGGGAAGAGGAAATAGAAATCAAAAGAAATGAAATAGACAGAGAAAGAAATGAGAAAGAAAGAGAGGAAGAAAAAATGATCCAAAGAAATGAAAGGAGAAGGAAAATAAAGAGGGAAGAGAGAAAGGAAGAGAAAGACATGAGAGAAAAAAGGTGTATCCACCAGAGAAGAATGAGCAAAGAAAGAGAGAAAAGAAAAACAAATAAAAAGAAAGAAGAGAAAAAGAACCAGAGCAAAGAAAGAGAGGAAGAGAAATCAAAGAAATGAAAGAGAGGGAAGAGAAGAGAAAATCCAAGAGATAAAAAAAGATAAATGAATGAGAGAATGAGAGAAAAGCCACCAGAGAGAGAAAAGAGGAAGAGAGATCAGAAGAGGAGAAAAAATCCAAATGAAGAAGAAAGAGAAGAAGGAAGAGGAAGAGAGAAAAAAGAAATGAAAGAGAAAAAGAAGGAAAGAAAAGAGAGAGAAAGAGAGCAAGAGAAAAAAAAGAAATAGAAGGGAGAGAGGGAAAGAAAATGATGAAGAAAAAGAGAGAGAGAAGAGAAAAAGAAAATGATCCAGCATGAACAGAAAAGAGAATGAGCAAAGAAAGAGAGGGAAGAGAAAAAAAAGATGAAAGTGAGAAAAAAAGAAAAGAGAAAGAAAGAAATGAAGAGAATGAAATGAAAGAAAGGACCACCAGAGAAAGAAAATGAGCAAAGAAAGAGGAAGAGAAAAAAAGAAATGAAAGGATCCAGGGAAAAGAAATGAGAGAAAAGCCAAGAGAGAGGAAGAGAAATCAAAGAAAAGAGAGGTGTAGAGAGAGGAAGAAAATAAAAACAAGAGATAAGAGAAAAGAGAAAATCAGAAAAAATAGAAGAGAAAGGGAAGAGAGAAAACAAGAGAGGGAAGAGAAAAAAAAAGAAATCAGAGAGGAAGAGAAAAGCCAAAGAGAATGAGAAGGAAGAAAAGAGGAAGAGAAGGAAGAAAAAATGAAATAGAAAAATACAGAGGGAAAGAAAATGAGAAAAGAGGAAGAGAGAATAAAGAAAAAATCAAAAGACAAAGAGATCAAGGAAGAAAGAAAAAAGAAAGTGATGAAAGAAGGGAAGAGAGAATAAAAGAAGGAAAAGAAAGAAGAGAGAGAAAGAAAAATGAGACAAAGAAAGAAAAGAGAGGGAAGAGAAAAAAAAAAAGAAATAGAAAAAATGACACAGAAAGGAGAGAGAAAGAAAGAGAGGAGAAGATGAAAGAAAAGAAAAAAAATACAGAAGAGAAAGAAAGAGAAAAGATGAGAAGACCAAGGAAGAGAAAGAAAATGAAATGAAAAGAGAGGAGAGAGAAAATGAAAAAGAAAGAGAGGAAGAGAAAGAAAGAGACAGAAAGAAGAGAGAAAAGAAAGATGAAAGAAAAGGAAGAGAAATCAGAAAGAAAAAAGAGAAAGAAAAAAAAAACCAGAGAAGGAGAGAGGGAAAGAAATGAAAGAATGAAATGAATAAAAGAAGGAGAAGAAAGAAGAAGAAAAAGAGAAAGAGAGAAGGGAAAAGGAGAGAAAAAGAAGATAGAAGAAAGAGAGAAAAGAAAGCATGAAGAGAAAAAGGAAGAAGAAAATGAGAGGAAAAGAGAAAATAGAGAATGAAAGAAAAAGAAAATGAGGGAAGGAGAAAGAGAGAGAGAGAGAGAAAAAAAGAAATGAGAAAAAAGAGAAGTGAAGAAAGAAATGAGATAAGAGAAAGAGAGGGAAGAAAGACAAAGAAAAGAAAGAGAAGGGAAGAGAAAAGAAGAGAGAAATAAAGAGGAAAAAGAAAAATGAGAAGAAATGAAAGAAGAGAGAAAAAGAAATGAAAAGAAAAGAAAGAGAAAATCAGAGAAATAGAGAGAAAAACCAGAAAAAGAGATGAGACAAAAAAAGAGAGGAAGAGAAAGAAAGAAAAATGAAAGGAACAGAAAAAAGAAGGAATCAGAAAGGAAAGAGAAAAAGAAGATGAAAAGAAAGGAAAGAGAAGAAAAGAGGGAAAAGAAAATGAGAAAAAGAAAAAGACACAGAAGAGAAAATGAGAGAAAGAGAGAAGAAAAAAAAGAAGAGAGGGGAGAGAAAAAGAAAAAAAAAATAGAGAGGGAGAGAAAAGAAAGAAATGAAAGGGAGAGAGAAAGAAGAGAGAAAGAAAAGAGAGGAAGAGAAATCAAAGAAAGGAAAGAGAATGAAAAGAAAAGAAAATGAAAAGAAAAAGAAGGAAGAGAAAGAGAGAAAATCCAGAAGAGAAAAGAAAGAGAAGGAAAGAAAGAGAGAGAAGAAGAAAAAGAAATGAAATAGAAAAGAAAGAAGGATCAAAGAAAAGAGAGAAGAGCATGAAAGAAATGGACAAAGAGAAGGATCAGAGGGAAAGAAAAAGCCAGATGAAAGAAAAGAAAGAGAAAATCAAAGAAGAGAGAAAAAGATCATGAAGAGAAAAGAGGAAGAGAAATAAAAAGAAAGAAGGAAACCAAAGAAAAGAAAAAGAAAGAGAAGAAAAAGAGAGAAGGAGAACAGAAAGAAGAGTGAAAAAAGAGAGGGAAGAGAAAGAGAAAGAAAAAAAGAGAAGGATCAGAGGGAAGAGAGGAAAGAAAGAATGAATAGAAAAGGAGAGAAGAAAGGAAATGAAAAAAAATGAGAAAATAAAGAAAAAGAAAGAGAGGAAGAGAAAAAAGAAAAGGAAGAAAGAGAAGAGAGAAAAAGAGCATGAAGAAAGAAAGAAGAGAAGAGAAATCAAAGAAAGAGAAAAAAAACAAAAATGAATAGAAAGAAAGAGAGGAAGAAGGATCCAAAGAAAGAGAAAGAGAGAACAAGAAAAGAAATGAGAAAAGAAAGAGAGAGGAGAGAAATCAAGAAAAGAAAGGATGAAGAGAAAAGAAGAAGAAGGAAAGAAAGAGAAAGGAAGAGAAAGAAAAGAAATGAAACAGAAACAGAGGAAAGAGAAAAACCAGAAAGAAAGAAAAGAAGAGAAAAAAAAAAAAAAAAGAAATATGAAGAGAAAGAAAATGAGAAAAGAAAGAGAGGGAAAGAAAAATCATGAAATGAAAAAGTACAGAGAAAAAAGAGGAAAGAAAAGAAAAAGAGAATGAAAAGAAAAGAGAAAGAAGTATCAGAGGGGAAGAAAAAATGAGAAGAAAGAAAAGGAAGAGAAGGATCAGAGAGAAGAGAGAAAAGCCAGAGAAGAAAGAAAAAGAGAAAGAAAAAAAAAGAGAAAAGAGAAAGCAAAGAATAGAAGGTGTAGAAGGAGAAAAGGAGAGAGAAAGAAAGAGAGGAAGAGAAAAAAAGAAAGAAAGGTAAGAAAGAAAAGAAATGAGCCAAAGAGAGAGAGGAAGAGAAAGAAAGAAAGAGAGGTGAAGAAAAAAAGAATGGAAAAGAAAAGAGAGAAAAAGGACAAAGAAGGAGAAGAGAAAAAGAGAAAGAGCAAAGAAAGATGAAGAGAGAAAAAAAGAAAATAAAAAAGAAGAGAGAAAGAAAGAGCAAAGAAGAGAGGAAGAGAAAAAAGAAGGAAAGGTAACAGAGAAAGAAAAGACAAAGAGCAAAGAAAAAGAGGAAGAGAAAAGAGAAAGAAATGAAGAGAAAAGAAACAGAGAAAGAAGGAGAAGAAAAGAAAGGAAGAGAAATAGAAAAGAAATGAGAAAGACATAGAAAGAAAAGAGAAAAGAAAGAAAGGAGGAAGAGAGAGAAAAAAGAAATGAAAAAAAGAAAAAAAAAGAAAGAGAGAATGAGAAAGAAAAAGAAAGAGAATAAAAAAGAAAGAAAAGGAAGAGAGGAAGAGAGAAAAAAATGAGATAGAAAAGAGTAAAGAAAAGAAGAAAAAAGAAAGAGAAAAAAGAGAAAGAAAGATGAGAAAGAAGAGAGAGAAAAGAAATGAGAAAGAAGAAAAAAGAAAGAGAAAATGAGAAAGAAATGAAAGGGAGCAAAAAAATGAGAAAGAACAAAGAGAGGGGAAGAAAAAAAGAAAATAGAAGAAAAAAAGACAAAGAAAGAGAAGGAAGAGAAAGGGAAGAGAAATGAAAGAAAAAACAGAGAAGGAAGAGCAAAGAAGAGAGAAAAAGAAGAGAGAAAAATGAATAGAAGGATCAGAGGGAAAGAAAAATGAGCAAAGAAAGAAGGAAGAGAAAGAAGAAATGAAAGAGTAGATGAATAGAAAAGAATGAGAAAAAGAAAGAGAGGAAGAGAAAGAGAAAGAAAGAAAGGTGGAGAAAAAAAATGAGATAGATCATAGAAAGAGAAAGAGAGGAAGAGAAATCAAAGAAATGATCAGAGAAGAAGAAAGAAAGAGAAAAGCCAAATGAAAGAAAAGGAAGAGAAATCAAAGAAATGAAAATCCAGCATGAAAGAAAAAAGAAGAAAGAGAGGAAGAGAAAAAAGAAAAGAAAGGAAGAGAAATGAAAGAAACAGAAAGAAAGAGAGGAAGAGAGAAAAGCCAGCATGAATAGAAAGGACAGAAGAAAAGAGAGGGAAGAAAGAAAGAGGAAGAAGAAAAGAATAGAAAAGAAAGAGAGGAAGAGAAAATGAGAGAGAAAGAGAAAAGAGAAGATGAAAAAGAAAAGAAAGAGAAGAGGAATAAAAAAGAAAAAAGAAAGAGGAAAGAAAAATGAACATGAAAGGAAAGAGAAAAGGAAGAGAGAAAAGAGAGGAAGAAAAGAAAGAGAAAAGAAAATGAAAGAAAAAGACAAAGAAAAGAGAAAAGAGAAAGAAAGAGAGAAAAGAAAAAGAAATGAACAGAAAAGAGAAGAAGAAAGAAGACATAGAAAGGGAAGAGAAAACAAGAAGAGAAAGAGAAAGAGAAAAATCAATAGAGAAGGATCAGAAGAAAGAGAAAAAGAAGAGAAAAGAAGAGGAAAAGAGAAAAAAAGAGAAGAAAGAGAGGAAAAGAAAATGAAACCAGCATGACAGAGAAAAAGAAAGAAGAAGAGATAGGAAGAGAAATAAAGAAATGAAAGAGAAAAGAGAAAGAAGGAGAAAAGAGAAGAGAGAAAAGAGAAATGAAAGAGAAAAGAGACACAGAAGGATGAAAAGAGGAAGATGAGAAAGAAAGAAGAGAAGAGAAGGATCAGAAGAAGAGAAAATCCATCATGAGAGAGAAAAGACAGAGAAGGAGAGAAAGAAAGAAAAGCAAAGAGAATAGAAAAGAAGAGAAAATGAGAAAGAGAGAAAGGAAGAGAAAGAAAAAAGATAGAAGGAGAGAAGGAAAGAGAAAAGAAATAAAGGAGAAGAGAAAAGAGACAGAAGGAGAGGAGAGAAAAAGAGAAAAGAGAGAAAGAAAGAAAGAGAGAAAGAAAGAAAAAGAAAAATGAGAAGAGAGAAGGGAAGAAATGAATAGAAAAAAGAGGACAGAAAATGAGAAGGAAAGAGAAAAGGAAAGAGAATGAATGAAAAAAAAGAGACAGAAGAGAAATGAGAAAAGAAAGAGAAAGCCAGAGAAAGAAAAGAAAAGAAAGAAAGGAAGAGAAGAGAAAGAAAGCAGAGAAAGAAAAAAGAAGAAAGAGAAGAGAGGAAAGAGAAAAGAAGGAGAAGAAGAAAAAGAGAAAGAAAGAAAGAAAGAAAGAGAAAAAAAGAAAGAATAGAAACAGAAGAGAAATGAGAAAGAGAAAAGGAAAGAGAAAGAAAAAGAAATGAAAGGAGACAGAAAAGAAGAGAAGAGAAGGGAAGAGAAAGGGAAGAAAGAGAAGAAAGAGATAAAAAAGAAAAAAATAGAAAAGAGAGAGAAAAGAGAAAAAGGAAAGAGAAAGTAAAATGAGAAGACAACCAGAGGGAAGAGAAAGAGATACAAAGAAATGAGGGGAGAAGGAAAAGAAAGAAAAAGAGCATGAAGAGAAAAAGACACAGAGAGAGAAAGAGGAAGATCTGAAAAGAAAAGGGAAGAGAAATGAAGAGAAATGAAAGGAAGAGAAAAAAGAGATAGATGAAGAGAAAAAGAAGAAGGAAGAGAAATAAGAAATGAAAGGTGTACATGAATAGAAGAAAAGAGAAAAGAAAGGAAGAGAGGAAGAGAAAACAAGCATGAAGAAAAGAGAGAAGGATCAAAAGAAGAGAGAGGACCAAAGAAAAGAAAAGAACAGAAGAATGAGAGTGGAAGAAAGAAAAAGTAAGAAATGAGAGGAAGAGAAATCAAAGAGGGAAAGGGAAGATGAGAAAGAAAGAGATGAGAGAAAAGAAAGAGAGGAAGAGGGAAGAGAAAAAAAAGCATGAACAGAGAAATGAGAAAGAAGGATCAGAAGGAAGAGAGAAAAGCCAAATGAATAGAAAAGTAGTGTAGAAGGAGAAAGAGGGAAGAAGAAAAGCCAGCAAGAGAAAGAAAAAGACAGAAATGAGAAGAGGGAAGAATGAAAGAAAAAGCATGAAAGAAAGAGAAGGAAGAAAACCAGAAAAAGAAATGAAAGAGAGCCAGCATGAAAGAAAAGAACAAAGAAATCAGAGGAAGAGAAAACCAAAGAAATGAATAGAAAAAGAGTGAGAAGGAAAAAGAGGGAAGAGAAAAGAGAAAGAAATGAAAAGAAAAAAGACACAGAAAGGAAGAGAAAGAGAAAAAGAGAGCATGAAAGAGAAAAAAACAGAAAGATCAGAGAGGAGAAGAGAAACCAAATGAAAGAAAAGAAAGAAGGAAGAGAGGAAGAGAAAAAGCCAAAGAAAAAAGAAAAAAAGACACAGAAGGAAAGAAAGAGGAAAAAAGAGCATGAAGAGAAAAAGAACACAGAAGGAGAAGAGAGGAAGAGAAACCAGAGATAGAAAAGGAAAGAGAGGACAAGAAGGGAAAGAGAAAAATCCAACATGAATAGAGAAATGAGAAAGAAAGAGAAGGAGAGGGAATCAAAGAAATGAAAGGAAAAGAAAGAACAGAAGGAAGAGAGGGAAGAGAAAATCAAAGCATGAAAAGAAAAGAAGAGAAGGAAAGAGAGAAGAAAGAAAGAGAAAAGAGAATCATGAAAATGAAAGAGAAGGATGAGAAAGGAGAAGAGAAAAAGAATCATGAAGAGAAAAGGAAAGAAAGAAAGAAGAGAGAAAGAAATGAGCAAAGAAAGAAGGAAGAGAAATCAAAGGAAATGAAAGGTGTACATGAAAGAAAAAAAGACAGGAAGGACCAGAACAAAGAGGAAGAAAAGGTAATGAAGAAAAGAACACAGAAGGATGAGAAGGAAGAGAAAAAAGAAATGAAAGAAAGAGAAGGAAAAGAGGGAAGAGAGAGAAAGAGAAATGAAAGAAAAATGAAAGGGAAGAGAAAGACCAGAGAGAAAGAAAGGAATGAGAAAAGAGAAGGAAGAGAGGGAAGAAAGAAAACCAGCATGAATAGAAAAGGAACACAGAAGGAATCAGAGAAAGAAAAATCCAACATGAAGGGAAGAAAAGGAAAAGAAGGATCAGGGAAGAAGAGAAAAAAAGAAATGAATAGAAAAAGAGAAAAAGGATCAGAGGGAAGAGGAAAAGCCAGAGATGAATAGAAAAAATGAAAAGTGTCAGGGAAGAGAAAATCAGAAAATGAATAGAAAAAAAGAGAAAAAATGAACATGAAAGAAGAGAAAAATGAATAGAAATGAAGAGAGAAGAAAAGGAAGAGAAAAATCAGGGGAAGAGAAGAAGACAGGAAAGAAAGAAGAGAGAAAATGAGACATGAAAGGAGGACAAAAAGATCAGAAAGAAGAAAGACAGAACATGAATAGAAAAGGACACAGAAGGAAAGAGGGAAGAAAATCAAAGAAGAGAAAGAATAAAAAAAAAGACAGAAGAAAAGAGGGAAGAGAGAAAATCCAAAGAGAATAGAAAAAAGACACAGAAGAGAGGGAAGAGAGAAAGCCATATGAATAGAAAAGGAATGAGAAGGATCAGAGGAAGAGGAAAAGACATGAAAGAAAAAGAACAAAGGAGGAAGAGAAAAGAAAGAATGAAAAAAAAGAGAATGATCAGAAAAGACCAAAGAAAGAGAGAAAGAGAAAGAAAGAAATGAAAGGAAGAATGAAAGAAAATGATAGAAAAGAAAGGAGGAGAGAGAAAAAAAAAAATGAAAAGTAAACAGAAAAGAGAATGAGAGAGAAAACCAGCAGGAATAGAAAAGAAAGAAAGGGAAGAGGGAAGAAAGAAAATCAAAGAAAGAGAATAGAAAAGATAGAAAGGAGAGATAAAAAGAGTAATGAAAAAAAAGAATGAAAGAGAAAAAAACACAGAAGGACCAATGGAAGAGAGAAAAGTGTACAGAGAAAGAAATGAGACAAGAAAGAGAGAAGAAAGAGAAATAACAAGAGAAAAGAAAGATCAGATGAAACATGAAAGGGAAATGAGCAAAGAAAGAGAGGAAGAGAAAGAAAAGAAATGAAAAGGTGTACAGTGAAAGAAATGAGCAAAGAAAGAGAGGAAGAGATGAACAAAGAAATGAAAGGTGTACAGAAAAGAAACCACAAAAGAAAGAAAGAGAAGCCAAGAAATGAAAGGATGAACAAGAGAGGGAAATGAGCAAAGAAAGAGAGGAAGAGAAATCAAAGAAATGAAAGGTGTACAGTGAAAGTAATGAGCAAAGAAAGAGAGGAAGAGAA